CATGGTGAATTTTTATCTGACAGTGCAATGAACAGTTTCCAATCCTGTCTTTCTTTAGTTTTCTCTCATTCCTCTTTAGTCTTAACATTGTTAAATATTTTTGCAACCAGAAGGTATTTTTGGAGTGAATATACTGCCATGACTCTCTGTTTTCAATGGCAACGCTCAGTTCTGGCTGCCACGAGCAGACACAAGATGCCATGTAAAACTGCAAGTTGATTTTTAAAAAACATGATTATATAATGTTGTACCATTCCTTTTGGTTGAAATTCCAGGAAAGTAGCGATCAGGATTTTGTATTGCCTATCCTAAACAAGTAAGCATGTTTTAAATTCAGTTCAAGACTAAAGAACTATGCTAATACAATAATAGTCTTCAAATTTTAAAGCTGTTTGGCAAGGAGGGGTACTGAAAAAATGTCAGCTTCACCCTTTGACAGCACTGGCAATCACCCTTTAAAATCTGCTATAATACTATAATTACCCCAAATATTTGGTTTAAACACTTTTAAGCTAACCAGCCATGCCAGCTGTCGGTAGGATCTCAGTTGAGAGTTGATTTTGGTCTGCAGTCAGGTCAGAGAGCACCCATGACTTACTACCTGCATACGTTCAAATTCCCCAGACATCAGATTGAGACCACAAAATGGAGGAAAGTAAGGCTAATTTGTTGACTGTCATGAAGAAAGATGATTTCTGGAACAGAATCACAGAAACCACATCCTAATACTAACATACTGGGAGAGCTGTTTGCCAACACAATTTGTGTGAATTGAGTATTAGGTAACACAGAAGGACAGAGGACAAAGGGAGAAATAAGAAATGGCGCCATCTCCATGCCACCAAAACCCAGAGGAAACCAAGCCAATGGAAAGCTTCCACAATCCTGAGAAAACAAGTGCTTGCTGAAGCTTGGATCCTGCTTCCTCAGTTGCTTCTAAGACTGTTACAGCTACTTGGGGATGTCTCAGATCTGGTCACAGTGCCATCTTCACACAGTTGCACTGAATTTCAAATTAAATGTCATTAGAGGCTTAATCAGAACTATATCCTGTTGTACTTGTGATATTGGTTCTGAGAACTCAGGTCTAAATACTTCACTTTGAACTCTCACTTTGTGTTTCTTCAGTAAAAATCAAGCTGGGTTTAAGGAGCAGAGGCAGAACAAGCAGAGTCTTAGAGCTTGGTGTCTCCTTCAAACTGCTTACAGGGAAATAACTTATTTTCCAAATTCATCCCTGAGATTATTCTGCTGACACCAGAATCTATCCGGGAAACATCCCCAGGCTCTGTGAACAACATATGCACTTGCTCAACAGAGGAAGAAATACTAACATTTAAAGTCAGTAGAAGTCTTGTCATTTGATTTTAGTTGGTTAAAATATCACTTTTCCTTCAAGTGAAGCTTCTTATCTCCTGTTGAATTTTTGTATTGTCAAAGGCTAACTAGATCTAAAAGGCTAATAGATAAGAAAAGAGGGATATTTCATCTGGTGCAATTTCTGAACGTTACATTTTTGCCTGAAGAGCAAGACCTATGTCAACATCCTTTCTAAGTAGTACACAAGATTTTATGCGTAATCCCATTGAAATTTCAAATGAGCACAAAGTTATATTTATAATTTTTTAAATGGAAAAAACCCCACAAATTGCTTTATTATCAAAAAATCCTCTTGAGCTATTCAAACCAGAAGAAAAACCTCCCTGCAAACCATCTAATACGTTTCAGCCACCTGATGCAGTGTGAGAGGAAGGAAAGACACCTCTTTGCATGGAGATCCATCAGCTGCTAATATCTCTAATAGAAGAAAAGCTGCAGAGAATGTTCCTGCAGGTCTCATGATGGAAGTCAAAACGTTCATCAGAGAAATCTTCTTTGAAATGTACCTATAATGAGTTTTATGAGTGTGTGTTGGGAGAGTGCTCGTGGAGTAAGAAAGTTCTACTGTGTTAAAGATGTCTATCAGTAATGAATCACTCATACTTTGTCAGAGCACTTTCTATTTTATTTTTTTTTTAATCCATACAACATTTGGTAGGAGTTTCTAGAGAAACATCCATGCTGCTCAGCATAGTTTATTTAAGACTGTGAATGCTAAACTTGCACAATTCCAGGTAAGATAATGTTCAGAAGCCTGCATTATTGCTACACTTCACAGAAGACAATGCTAACTGTTTTGTTAGGCAAGGAAATAACTGGAAAAAAGACATTTTGCATGCAAAGTGCATTTTTAAATAGATACAGCAGCTACCTTTGAAATTTTTTTACAATCAGCCATGTCACTTTTTCTGGGTGCAGACTGGCTGCAATTTTGAAATGTTAAAATCTTGTTCTTTCTAGATTGTTGTCTCATGAAAACAAGGTCTACATTGTGTCCTAAAGCCCCACTGCAAACTGACAGGATTCTACTGAAGCAACCAAGGGAAATGTACCTTCTTTGTGATAGGGTAGGAAAAGCTTCCCAGGAGAAGTGGTGTAGGTAATGAGAGCTGGATGTCAGCGTGTGCCAGTGATGACTGCAGCAAGTGGCTCCTCTGACTCAGACAAATTAATTCAAAATTAAAGTTGCTATGAGACTACACATGGCAGTAGCAAAACATATTTACTTAGACGAAGGCAGGAAGGGATGGCAAAGAAACTTAGATCCGATTTGTTTTCCACAAAGGCAAAATTCATTTAACTGGACCTCCAGACGACTATTAAAATCAGCTAAAGCTACATACAAAACTACTGTACTTGCTTGCCTGAACGCGGGAAATAAACCCAAATCATGTGGGCTGCTAGTGCCATCTATTGTGTACGGGGAAAAATACAGATACCACATGTAGGACTTGCCTATTTTCTCCTTAAGATGGGAGAAACGCTCTTTCTGAATTATATTTACCAATCCAAGGTATAGCCAAAGCTCATTAAATTGTTGTGATTGTTTATAAAATACAGCATGTATTTTTATTTCTGTGTATTGCAGCAACATGCAGGACTCTGCCAGGCCTCATCATGCCAGTACTGCTTGTGTCTGCACGTGTGGGCACTGGCACACACACAAATGCAGTGAAAGACAGACCCAGCTCTGACAGTTTTTAGTCAAAGCGACAGAAAATTTATGCATTAAAGCCTATTGCTACTTGCCCACATTTCTCCCAAATAAATGGGCATTTACTCATCTTCCAAGGAAACAAATATTATCCCCTCTTAAAATACATGCACCATGCTGCCATTCACTGTCTCTAGGAGGAGAACAGCTCTTCCAGCCTCTCTTCCAGAGACAATATTTCCAGTGGACATTGTAAACCACGGGGAACCAACCCCACACCCTCTGCAGTCTGCAAACAGGCGCTCTAAAGCCTGAAGACTTGTGAAAATGTGGTCAATATTGAGACTAAGACTGTATTTACAGAGGAGTTTTAAATACCAAGCTCTTGAACCTCTTTACAAAATTCACTCTAGAATGTCCAAAATTCACTGATGTGTTGCCATAATCCCTCTAATCTGCTTGGAAGTTTTGCTACCATTATTAAGAGCAACAAATAAATGCCTTGATGTCAAGATTATTGTACTACTGTCAAACGTATGTTGCTGTCAGAGGCAAGGCAGTATGCAAACTGAGCAGACCAGAAATTTAAGTTTAGTTTGCCTTAAGAGAAAAGCCAGTGATGAGGTCATCACTAGCTCAGTGTGCACTGGAAGGCAAAGCAGAGCAAGTGACAGTGTTCTAAGACAAAGGGGCTTTTAGGTATTTTGAGTTGATAGAGTTTATCCCTACACAATCTGGAACTGTGAAAGAGACCACAACAGTGGTATTTCACCTGCAGATCAAGATGCAACCTAGAAAAATTAGCTTTTGCACTTTTGGAAGCAGTAGAATGATTTAGCATAACTACTAAAAATAACAGCAAGTATCATGTGATTTACTGGAGTTTATGCAAAAGGAATTTCTCAATCACTTCTGATGGGCTGACAAATAGAGAACATCATGCAGAGTAGATGATGAAAATATTTGTAGCATAGCTTCCAACAACAACAACAAAAAAGCTATTTATTGTTGCTAAGAAATATGAAAATATAGAAAAGACCTGTAGCAAAGCAACAGAAATGTGCTGTGACATTGTCTGTGCTAACCTCTAGAAATCACTTGCCTGAAAAAATTAAAGTGCAGTATTTAACAAGAGTCAGCCACAGCTAAATTATACCTTGCTAGAATATTATTTTGGCAATTGATTGCAACTTGTCAACTCACATTTCTACTGAAAAAATAGTTAAGCTGTTGACTGAAAATCTGCTTGAGACAGAGAATAATCAAAGTGTTTTCAATAGTTGTTCACTGCACAAATAAAAAAATAAAAATCCATTGCCTCTGTCTGCATGTCAATGCACGTTGAGGTCTTAGGCCTAACAGATTTAATAAAAGGTGCACCACTGGTGCATTCTTTTGGTCATGAATATAACTCATATTGTGTATCACAGTAAAGCTCAGGAAAATGGGAAGGATTTAATTCAGTACTTGAATTTACCTCTTGACTTCAGGGATAAGGTGATCTTGATTCAGCCACTTTCTCTGAAATTGTTTTTCTTCTCTTTAGGATACTGTAAGCACTCTAAACGTTGGCTATTATTTAAAATAACAACTTCTTGCTTCTTATACTTTACTTTATGAAAGCTAAGAATAAAAAGCAATAAAAGAATTAATACACAGTGCACTAGGAAATATGGTCTTTTCTTAACAGAGCCTTGAAAATAACATGATGTCACTTTTTGTGGTTGATACACATTTCCTTTATGATCTTCACTTGAAGGAATGAGTGTCCCTTACAGGATATCCAATCAGCAAGAAATAAGATCCGTCCTTAATCAGTACTAGATTTGATTTTTAAGTTGGTTGTAGCTGTAAACCTCTGCAAGTTAACCTGAATTCTATGGAAAGCAAATTTTCCAGTGGAGAACAAACACTTTTATCTGTTTTTATCTGGAAGAACTTACAAACAAAACATCAACTCTTTAAGTTGTGAAACAGCTGAATTTAATACAGTTTAAAATACACATTAAAAGAAATATTAACAGATGATTAATCTTAAGACATCACTCTCCAAACAAACATTAGTTAGTGGATATTAGCAACTGAAAATCATCAATATTTCTGCATAAACTGTGATAGTGTGGAAAATGTAATTTTCAGAGAACGTAATTCACAACCAAGTGGCTAATGCACTGAATGGAGGTGGTGAATCAGTCCATGAAAGAACCTTTTACCTGCAGATACTTGTAACATCTGACTTCTCAATCAGTTCCTTTTCAAGTCTTTCATTACAGAAGTAACTCTGTAGCAGCAAATATCTTCATTACAGATGCTCTCCAGGTTTGTTTTTTAATTCAGTTTTATGTATGTAATACTCATACATTTATTTCTAAGTACCTGAAAACTACTGCCTCTTCTTATTTTCCATTAATTCCCAAGACTTTTTTTGAGACCTTCTTCACTCCATTGTAGATCAAAACACAGGCTGGAAAGTTCTGCTTTATATTAACAAAATTGCAATAAGATTTCTCTTTATTACATCGTGCTTAAATGTCAATTTGCTTTCTATTCCCACTTCCGTCTTTTGTTTCCTGTGGCCATCAGTGCATAAAAGGGAAAAAGGGGTGGATTTTTACAACATGTACTGCAGTGATGATTAGAAAACATTTTTCAAGCAATATAGTTTAAATTTCTCTTAGTACTTGCATTTGCATTACAGTGTTCAGCATCAGAAATATGTAGCATAGTGTTGACATCTATTAACTTCAAATTTCTTCAAACAAAGATCCCACTCTTGCTCTCACCATCGTCTCCAGCCCTTGCAACTTAACAGAGTAGGAATTCAGTCCTAGTGATTTCCATTGCCTTTACAATTCTCTCTTTGCAAAATGTACTTTCTCAAGTTTAAAACTAATGCTACTGATCACACTACAGCAAATTTAAAAAGTACAGATATGTCCAAAATGGAAGAGCTGAGGAGATCAAGTCCTTGAGTGATTTTCTGGTGCTTCTAGATATTGCTTTCATTACAGTATTTTTAATATACCAAACCATATAAAAATTACAAAATATTACAAAAAGGCAGGAGAAACCTTGCTCCGAGTTTTTAAAATCTTTTAGTGCTTGCTGGTGCAGAGTTAATGGCATGTGTTCTTAATACAATCTTATCAATCCTTGTGCCTCTGTCACTTTTTCTATAAGTAAAAAGAAACCTAGAATATTCATAGATATAAAATATTGTTCTTTCACTATCAGGATTCTTCATGTATTTCTGTTGATATCCTTACAGAAAATCTCTAAAAGAAAAATAAAGCAAGATCAGCTTAGGATAATTTAATTTCACAGTTCTGTGATATAAAGTACAAGGAGATTAAACAACACAAAAGAAACAAGTGTTAAAGTGAAATAAATACTGGAGGAAAATTAGGAAAAAATCTTATTTTTCTTGAAGTGTGGCAGGACTTTTTTACTGAATTAATAATTTGGTTTTCTCTGAGAACTGGTTATGACAAAAAGATGATTTAAGAAAGAGAATCTAAAAAATCTTTCTGTCATTGTCAAACACTAACATTGGATTCATGTTATTTCATAGCCTGTAATTTAAAATGGCCACAATTCCATTTTGTTTAATTTCATCACTTTCTCTTATTTTCAAATATTTATATTTAGTAAAAGTTTTTATGTGTCTGAAGCAGAATTATCAACTAACAATTGTTGATAAATATTCTGAGAATTACTGCATTGTCCTGCAAATCTCTGTCTCCAAAAAAAAAGTCTGACCTTTGGTAAAAGAGATGCCATCACACATATAAACATCAGAGAGTGATGGTTATAAACCAGAGAGGACTGGTTATAAATACCTCCCCCCAAAAATCATGCATTAAACAATACAGACATTTTGGAATGGTTCTTCAATAATTCTATCAAGTTTAGAAGGCAATTATATACCTTTAAGATCATGTGTTGTGTAATTCAGAACAACTATTTTTTTTTCTGAAAGATGTGTTTTTCTCTGCTGAACCTAGCTTATTTTATTTTATTATTTTTTTTAATTTTTTTTTTTTAGTTTAGCAAAAGCCCTGCAGCTGTGATCTATTCAGTACTAAGTCAAAACTAAACAGACATGGAAATGTTTGCTATTGGTTAGCAAAATATATGTTAACTCTGAATCCAGCTACCCAAACCAGAGAGCTTTTGTGTCAATACTTTTCCAAAAATTATTTCATATTCTTTGCACTGTGAGGAAACATACAGCAAAATGTGTAAAACATCAATTATTGAAAAGCTTTGGATTATCATATAAAATCCTTCAGTCTGAAAGAAATGAAGTTTTAGTTGCATCATTTATTTATTATTATATCACCTTTAGAGGGACTCTTTCTACAGAAAATAGTAAATAATTGACTGTTATTAATTTTGAAGAACAGGCACATTGAACATTAAACTGAATTTTATGTTTTATAATCAAGGGGGTGAATATTCATTATGTAGACAGAAATCAGTTCTGTCCTTGGTAACATTTGTTTCTGTATAGCTTTGATGCATCTATGTAGGTAAAGAATGGTAATTTTCTATTGCATTGTTATATAATTCATAGCATTTAGTCACTGCTAAAATATGTGGATACCAACCTGAAAATCTCTAATGAATGTTAAAAAGAAGAAGATGAAACCAAAGGCCACAGTCCATTCACAGATTGCACTTATAAAATGGTAAGTATAATCCTGATGGAGTGAGATATAAAACAAATTTTCAGATTAAACAGCTAAATAAAATATGGGTGAAATGATATAGAAATCTCCTTCTGTAAATGCAACAAGTAAGATTTATGACTTGTCATCCCTGTTGTATAAAAGTCAATTCACATTTTGTTTTAACAGAATGGTGAGTAAATTTATGAAGGTGCATGTTTTACATTAAGTCTTGTGCAGTACCATCAAAAGCAGCAGAAGAAAACTACAACTGGCACAGTATCAAAACAAAGGCTGACTGTAATATAAACCTGAAATCATCCAGTTGTTACATTAAAATTACTGATATGCCCATGCTCCAAGCTGTCACTCAGAGCCACTGAGCTCAGTAATTCTGAGCAAATCCTTACCATGTTTTGAAATGGTGGGCTACTCTTAATGGCAGTTCCTGACAAGACTTTTGTTTTTAAGACTGTCATTGAAAACGTTTGTCACATGACACAAACAGAATGCAAAGTGTTTCTTAACATGCCATCACCAAATATGCCATCTGTTTCAGTAAAACCATTTTTTCATCTTTGCATCACATAAAAACCCACAAAACCCCTGAAGATATTTCTAAGATTGTCAAATTTGCAAAGATTTATCTCACAGCTGCCTTGCAATGTTTGGTTGTGGTACATTTGCTAAATGTGTTCTTATTAAGCTCTTCAAGCAGGATATACTCTCTGCATTATTTAACCTTTTTTTTTTTAATACCTCCTTTTAGCAAAATTGCCCAAAAAGAAAAATTAGCTTTCATAGTTGTCATTCTGAAAACACTGAAATCAATTCAATTACCTAAAATTAACTTTAGGATGTTTTAGGTCCAAAATTCCAAATATTTATGACAGTATCAAAGACTATTTAATAAAAAATTATTAAAAGCTGAGATAAGCAATATTGTAAAAAACCTCAAAAACTACAGAATTAAATTGCTCCACTTATTGTTTCATGTGAAAATTTCATTTTCAAGAAAATTGCCTATAAAAGGAAGTAGAACAACTAATTTCCAGAAATTTTGTTTGGTAGTCTTTTTCTATGGGAAACTTTCAAATTCTTAGTCAAAATGAAAGTCTAACTCTTTCAAGATTGATCACCCATGACAAGTTTTCTTACCCACGCCGCAGACATCTTTCTAATGAAGAAGTGACTGGAAACCAGCATTGCACAAATCTGTTCATGATAATGTGCTATTTGAAGTCTCTGACATGTTTGTAGTACTTTAAGATAAATATAACAGCATTCCCCAAATAACATCACACTGGGTAAGTTGGCTGCCTGGTATGATTTTACCTTTTCACCTGGAGTCCAATCAATTCTTGTCATGGAAATTTTTGAAGCAAACACAATCACTGGGAAAAACAGTGTAAAGGAAACTATACAATATCAGTGAGTAAAAATGAAAATATCTGCTTACAAAAAAAAAAAAAAAAACAAAACCCAGACCATCTTCCCCTTCTGTAGCACAGGAGACCCTGAACAGCCAGAATATCAAACCAAGGTATTAAGAATACAAGTAAATGAAACACTTTATTACAAGGCAAGTGGTAGCAGCAATCAAAATGCATTTCTGCACAAATGAAGGTTTCTGTAGGTTCTTTCAAAGTGTAGAGAGTAAGGGAGGCACTCCAAACTTAGGTGTCATTTGTGATCAAGAACTATGGAAGCAGAGTCCTGCACTGCTGGAAGTAGAACAATGTTGGTTTCCAGTGATGCACAATAAGTGCCTTGATCTGTTTGTACAACTTCCTCTCGGGACTGAGGCCCTCTTCCAAAGCCCTTTCACAGCTGCTGGAACCAAAAGCAGGCTGTAGCTGGCTCATGTGATGAGCTGCTGCAATCACTTTTCAACACTGGCAGACCACCCAAGGCAAATAAAATCAGTGAGATGACTAATTACAGCATGCCAAGGGAAAAGCCAGGAAGTTGTGCAGCGTGGCTTTAGGAGAGGTGACTACTGAGGTGAAGAAGCAAGCAGCACAGTCAAAATCATCTGCTTAGGCTTGTATGCCACCCATGTTTTTAACTTCTGTGTGTTTGATTCATTGTAGAAGAAGTGGCTCCCTTTTTCAGACTTTCCTCCCTACTCTCCTTTGAGGGAAGAAAGTTGGAAAGCTGCTGTAGCTTCACCAGTGTATGATTCTGTGAAAAACACTGGGATTTTTTTTTTTAAATATACCACTGAAAGAAGAGATAAAGCTTTTTCATCTTTATGCTATTAATGGTGTCTCAACCTGCTGTACTATACACATTAGAGAGCCCTAAGTAAAGAGTGTGACCTCATTTTTATTTTTCATCAGCAATGTTTTAACTTAAAAGGAAAACCATGAACACATAAAGGGAAAACCATGGGATACACCACAAAGGATACTGGGAATGAAAGCAGTGCATGATATGACAGATATGGCCATCCTTATGTGACACACAAAGTAAGTGTTCCATCGTGGGCAGGACTTGTAGGAGATTATAGACTGAAGTGTGATGTACACAACACCCGAGCCAAAGGCCACCAAAGCTCCTATGTCATGGACACTGGGAACAGCCAGCTCCTGGAAAAGGAATCAGCGCAATGGTTTGCTGCTGTTACTTGAAGAAACTAGCAGGTAGTGCACATGAATGTAAATTTACTGCATGACATACTGATTAGAGGAACTAGACTGAATACTAAGGGAATAATTACTAATTCCAGCTTTGCTTTGATCTCCTGACTTGAAACATCACCCAACCTTGAGTAAATCTCACATCCTCTTCATGTTTCAGTTATTCAATTGGCAATCAGGGATCAGAATGTACTGTTCACTAGTTGTACATATACAGTGAAAAGATTGAAGGTTTGCAAGCCACCATTTCCAGCTTCTCGGCCAATTAAGGATGCTTGAAAATCTGCTAGATCAGATACTTAGCTAGATTAGATCCTTATTATGCTCAGAACCCTTTCTACAAACTGCACTTAACATGGAAAGCAGGGTCAAAGCAGAGGAAATACAAATTAAGTGAGGAAGGAGTTTATGGACTGGCAATGAGACACAACAGAGATTAGATAAGAACCCATGTTATAACTGTCAAGGAATCCCTTTGGAAACAGTAGGATCAAAGTTTCTGCATCCCAGACTCTCACAAATTATTTTGCATTCCTGATTTGTCTTTTCCCTATTGAGTTTGGTTTCTATTTCAGTCAGGCATCATCCAACATTTTTTTTTGTGCCACATATAAATTTTATCAATAAGAACAGGGATATTTTAAAATAAAATATGATTAGAATAAACTACAGTACCTGTGGTGTTTGCAATCCACACACACTGCCTGGATGCAAAGCTAAAAAGGGCAAGTTATCATCCTAAAGCAGAGGGTTTTTTTGTCTGAAAATACTATTTCCATTATATGTAAAACCGTACTGGCTGTTGAAGGCCCAACAATCTTTATTTTCAATTTCTGTGTATGTCATCATGTCACTATTTGAGCACAATGGTATTTAATAAAATGTTCCAAATGTTCCTTTAAAAGAAATAATGCAGCTGTTTCCACAGATTTTAAGGCAATATCTCAAGCCACCTGCCAATTGAATTTAGCTTGATTCTAGGTTGAAGCTTTCTGTGCAATTGTCCTAATATTTGCGTCAGAATCTAGCTTATTATACACTTCCTCACTAGAAAAGTTGAAATGAATAATTTTTTTCAGTATTTTTTCTCCCTATTGAATTTTCTTTCAGACACTGAGTGGAGGAGCTTTGGTTTGTAATGAGATACTTACTTCTGGCAAAGTAAGCAGTAGTTCTACATCTCTATCAAATGATAAAACATGTTGTTATGCCATTTCCTACAGACTCAAAAGTTTAACAGGCTGATATTGTGCTCAGTTTTCTAAATAAAAACCTGTCAGATAAGATTAGCTTATTTTGTAGAAAATTCTGCTGGTGAGTGCGCCATCATTCAGCCAAAAATGCAGATGCTTTTGTTAGTCTGACTTATTCTGCCCTACCTGATTATAAGTGAACTAAACTTGGAATAGCAAAATTTTTTACATTCAAGTTTTCACAGGAAAAAAATTTACAGAAAAAAAATCCATACAGTACAGACCTGTTACAAGACAAGCACACAGAAAACTCCTTAATGGCATAACTGCACAAACAAAAATTCTCTTGTATAGGGAGGAACCAAGTCTGTTGCTGAAAAGCTACAGAAAAAAGGCAAGAGCAAGAAAAGCATTCTTACTCCATTTTCCAAGAGTCCACATGGGGATAATGTTAATCACTGTTATCTAGTTGAAATTTTTAATGATAAAACAATCTTATCTTATTTTCATTTTTGTTACAAAATTTATGGTCGTACCTGAAAAGTTGCAACTATGCCCATTCCAGTGCAGCCCATCAATCCCACACATAATGTAAATATATTGCATGAAGACCTAACAAAGTGTGATGATTCATTTTGCTTCTCTATTAATAAATATCTGATGTACATTGTAATTGAAGCTGAAAAAAAACAACAAAAAAAAGTATTTTGTTCAATGATCACATATTGATTACATTTTAACAACTTTTTCCTCTAACACATGACTTGCAGAACAAAATTATAAACATAATACAATAAATAATGGAATGAAGAAGTTAATTCAGATGATCTTTCAGATGGGACTTCAACATTATCTTTGTCTTAAAATTGCATATTATTGCTATGTGGAACTAAATGCACATCAGTTCAAGAAAAGCACTAATTTAAATCTCATTCTCCTGGGTGTTTTGGGCACAGAGGCATTGCCATTCCACATTAGGAACAGATGTTACAGGGAGATAAGAACCATAAGATGCAAATGGGAGGCCTTATTCTGCTCTGAGGTGCAGTCTTGTGCAAGAACTACATCTCATTATGATGGATTGTCTGAAGAATTCATTCCTTTTTGTAGAGTCACTGCATGCCTGGCGCTAATATGCAGTTCACTCCTGGCAAACACCAGTACTGAATTAGGAAATCATGGTTCTTCAGGATATAATAAGCTATAGACTGAATTCCACAATTCCATAACACATAACACAGTTTCAGCCTATCTGCAATTGGAAAAAGAAATCAGGTAGCTTTGCCCAGGCACTATGAGGTTACATGAAACACTCCAAGATTGTGACTGAACAAGGCTCTTATAAAAGGTAAAATATGTTTACTTTGCCTTAAGGCCATCATACAGAGATACACAGCTCTTGATCCTCCATCCTCTTAAAGATAATGGAAAATGCCAAACTTCCTGATTCACATCAGTTATTTTGTGGAGTAGGCACGTTGTGGAGTAAACCAGGCGTTGCTTCAACACTGTTCTTCCCTTTACTGCAGCATCTTAGAACCTAAAGTTTCCCTACACCAGAGTTTTTGCAGAGTAATTATCCCATCTTTGCTCCACTTTTATTTCCAGTGTGCTGACTACTTTGCACTGATGAGGTGCTCTGAAGAGACACAAGTGCCTCTAAGCCTGCACTTACTCCTCCTAAGGACCCAACTCCCCAGGTATTACTTACATCTACCTGATACTGCCATTTGGCTGTGGAGAAGTTTTTCTGCAGAATACTGAATACATTTCTGTAATGAAAGCAGACATTTTTCACTAATTCTGATTTCTTGATTCTGGTCAACCCAAATACCTGATACATACCTAGAAGTGCTGAAATATTACTCATAAAACCAAAGACACCACTCTCCGGAGGTTTAGTTCCAGTGTCGCTAAAGCAGGAAGAGAGACAAATTAAAAGTCAATTGAGACAAACATAAATGAGACAATTGAAATTCCATGAGAAATAGAACTTGTGTGAATTGCTGCTGTGTGTGTAAGGCAATTCATCTTCTGCTGCACCATTTGTAGTAGGGAATCCTTCTTTTCAAAAGAAAGCATATTTTAAGAGCATACTCTTTGAACTGCATTTCTTCTTTTTCTGTATGCAGTATGCAAAGATGTGACAGACCTGTACTTTGCTCATGAATGACATGATTACATAAATGACATTTCAGAATTAATGTTTCTTTTATCTGCTGAATTAACACTGTGATAGTGTAAAAGATATCTAATGGCAATCACTGTCTGAAGAGATGAGAGAATTTGATTTAATTTCTTTAAAAGGACTTAACCCTATGAGAGAAATTGTGTTCCATGCCCAAGAATGTTCCTAGCAACTGTTTAACTTACTGATGTAGACACAGCTTAAGAGTACTCTATCTCCAAGGTGTTTTAAGTCTCTTCTGATGAAACACTTCATCCTTACAGGGAATAATTAGTTCACTGGGACATGGAGAGGGAGCATGAGTGTGAGAATATCTACAGAATTTATATACATATCTACATGTATATGGCTATACATGTCTAGACATATATGAAAGACATAATGTCTTCATCTATATATATATGAAAGGCATAATGTACACAAAACATTAGTTTTTCAGAAAATGGAACACCTTCACCATAGAGTCGTTTCCCCTCTTTTCCCTACATAAGTGCAAAAACCTCCCCCAGAGAATGCACAGAATCCCAGAACACTCCTGGGAGTGTGTGTACTCAGGCTCCCTCAAGCAGAAGTCTTCTACGGAAGGTGAGTGCTCTGTTGAAAGAACAGTACTATGACCTTGCCACCTCTTTTTACTATTTTTTCTTCTCTGATGTCCATTTTTTTCTTGTTTAACATACAACCAGTTGATATCTATTTGATCAGGTTCTGTTGGTCAAGCCAATGGCAAACATTTAGTTCTTCAATCTTTACATAATTTGAGTGTGAGCTAAGTTTTCAGTTACTGGGCAGTACCAAGAAGCAGGATAGTGTGTTTGAACAGAGGCACCCAAAAACTCTACGGTCAGATATGTGAACACATGAGGGTTTCAGCTAATGCCAAAGCTTAGTGGACACTGAGCAAAGTTTCTGAGAACAAATCTTTCTCCTGGAGTGGTAGTGTCAACCTGCTGGAGGGTAGGAAGGCTCTGCAGAGGCATCTGGACAGGCTGGATTGGTGGGCCAAGATGAGTGGTAGGAGGTTCAGCAAGACCAAGGCCTGGGCTCCTACACTTTGTCCACAACAACCCCAGGCAGCGTTGCAGGCTGGGGAGCAGTGGCTGGAGAGATGCCCAGTAGAAAAGAACCTGGGGTGCTGTTGGCAGTAGCTGAACGTGAGCCAGTGTGTGCCCAGGTGGCCAAGAAGGCCAGTGGCGTCCTGGCTTGTACCAGCAACAGTGTGGCCAGCAGAACCAGGGCAGTGATGGTCTCTCTGTGCTTGACTCTCTGTTCTTGACTCAGCACCTCAAATGCTGCTGTGAGTTTGGGCCCCTCACTGCAAGGAAGATATCGAGGGGCTGGAGTGTGTCCAGAGAAGGGCAGCAGAGCTGGGGAAGGGTCTGGGGCACAAGTCTGATAAGGAGCAGCTGAGGGAGATGGGGGTGTGTTGGGAATTTTTCATGTGTGGAGACGCGAGGCTTGACTCTATTTCAGGTTCTATTTAAGGTTAGTTTATTATCTTATGATATATATTATATTAAAATACTATATTAAAACTATACTAAAAGAACAGCAAGAAAAGAATGATCAGAAAGCTTGAAAGAATAAGAATAGAATGCATAACAAAATCTTGTGACTGCTCACAGCCTCAGCACAGGTGGCTGTGATTGGTCATCAAGTGAAAACAATCCACATAAACTAATGGAAGATGCACCTGTTACATTCCACAGCAGCAGACAGTTATTGTTTACATTTCTTTCCTGAGGCTTCTCAGGAGAAGAATCCTGGCAAAAGGATTTTTCAGAAAATATCATAGCTACAGGGGTGTTTAGCCTGGAGAAGAGGAGGGTCAGGGGTGACCTTGCCACTCTCTGCAACCACCTGAAAGGAGGCTGCAGCCACGTGGGGGTTGGCCTCTCAGATAAAAAGCAATAGGATAAGAGGAAATGTTGTGTCAGGGGAGATTTAAACTGGATGTTAGGAAAAATTTCCCCACAGAAAGGGTGGTTAGACATTGGAATGGACTGCCCAGAGAGGTGGTGGAGTCACCATCCCTGGAAATGCTAAAGGAAAGCCTGGACTTACTGCCATGGTCTGGTTGACATGGTGGAGTTCAGTCATAGGTTGAACTCAGTAACCTCAGAGATCTTTTCCAACCTATGTTGATTCTGTGATTCTGTGTATAATGAAACAAGTAGGTACTAGCTAGGGATATTTTTTTATGTCATGCAAGAAGAATAATACTATTCATTCCAACAGTGAGGCTGGATTAGGTTTCAGTGCTAAGATTCTGAAGCTACCACTGAGTACAGCCAAAATGACCTCAGCATGAATGCTCTCCACAGGCAAAAGAGAAAGCACTCTCTACTTTAGCAATCACTCTCAAGGATTTTGACAATTTTGTGAAGTTCAGGACAGAAGAGTATGGCCATCTCAAATGACTTGATTACTTTAGAAATTCATATTTGCTCTCCAACCCTTTCTATGTTATAGAATGACTTGTTTAACAAAAGTTGCTAAGATGATTTATCATCAATAGGAGGAAGCTTAGGATAAAGGTAGGATCTTTTTCTATGAAAAGCTGATGGAAAAAATAGAGAAAATTCATATATTCCTTTTCACTTGATTGGTTTCAAATTCTCAGACAGCAAAAGTTTGGACCAAGCTTTTAGACAAGTTTTTACAACTTGTCAGGCATTGGGAATCCCTATTCCCCTGAATTTTCTTGTTGTAATGCTTTCTGAGGACTTGTTCCAGCTGGTAGTCTGTATTAATCTTGTTTCTCTTTGACAGTGAAATTGATGAAAACAGTAAACTAAGACTTTTTGTTTGTTTGTTTGATACACCTGAAAATCATCTTAATTTGTGTTTCATTTAGCCCATTTTTTAAACTTGAACTTCATGTTTTCCTTTTGTTTCTGGAGTGTTTTCATTAACACGACAAAGGAGTCCATTTAAAATGTGGGCCACTTGTGACAATCTTCAAGGACTTTTTCAAATCAGAAACCACTCTGTGGTAAGTACATGACTGTAATCACTTCAAAGCTTTTGAAGGGCTTTAGGTGAGAAGAGAATGGAATTGGCACACATATAGAAAGCCATTTGAAGTTCTTGGAACACACTGCAGGAGCAAACCAAATAACGTGAAATTGCACTGAACTACATTTTTTAACAAAGTATTTTCTCAAGCTGAAGGTTATAGGTGATTTTTGCTATTGCAAATTTTTAAACTCAACAATCTTAGATTATGTTGTAAACAAAATTCATACCAGGAATATTATATCACAATCTATTTACAAAGTACTGCACTGGACTTTTAAGGACACAATCTTCTTAATGCTATATTTTGCATTAAAAAAGCTAAATGAATACTTGGATTCATACTCATTTTTCTTTAAGTCTGCTGCTTTGACAAAAAAGATTACCAAAAAAAGCATCAGTGACAGTCCCCTCCTTTTTATGAGAAAGAAAAAAGGAAATGGCATATTTGAAACAAAAAATGTGCTCACTTATTTGAGCTGGTGCATAGGGGAGCTCAACCACCATGGAAAAGATGAAGAACCCAGTATGAAAATGACAGCATTTGTGTCACCATCCCATGCAGAAGAATTTTAAAAATGAACAGTCTTCTGAAGAGTGGAAAGACAAGAAGGTGAAGGAGACAAGGAATAAATATTTTAGGGCCAAAAGACTCATTGAATTTTCATTAAATTTCATTAAATTTTCTTCAGAGCCATCATAAACTATTTCTCTACAAACTGAGGTCCCAAATTTTTAAAATAGGAAGATTCTATTCCACCTACAGGGATTCTGATTTCTCCAGAGGTACCAACTGGTAGCAAATACTTTCAGGAAAATTTCCTTTCCTCTTTCACTGAGAATTTGAACAAGCAAACAGCCACCCCAGCACATCCAAATTGGTTTGGATTTTGAGCAGCATGAGTAACAGGACTAATTTTGGCATAACATCATCATCTTTTAGGACTCAGCTGCTAGAAAATACAAAATCATATTTATTTTATTTACCAAGAATTGTATTTATATGGTTTACTTGATGGGACATTAGCACAGTCGCAATGACAAATTTACATGTGGTCTCTCGCTGTAACAGCTGCTACATTGTAAGCAAATAAAATTAATGTCACTTCAAGGCATACACAGAGTACTTGGGGAATGAATGTAAGAATTACAGAAACATTGAACTCAAGTATATCAGTATTCTTCTCCTTTGTGTAACTGGAATTTCCCCATATGAGCTCTATTTAATTTTTATACTTCATTTTAAGATATTGCACAACTGAAAGGTTGCAACACTCTTCCTCCTTTTTTAACACTCTTAGTTTTACTAAATCACATTCTCAATCACATGATGCATATTCTTAGGCTAAAGCAATGACCTGCAAATTAAGCATTGAATATGGTATAACTATTGTCCTGAGTACTTAGAAGAAAACCTTGTGCTATTCCCAATGCATATTCTATGAAGTTCTTATGCTTAGACCACATGCCTTTAGAATTGTTGCAGGTGCTTCACCAATAGCTCCATATATTCTTAGTCCAAATGTGGTGGTATAACATAAACAAGACTTTTAAAAGCTTTACTAGTAAATGCAGAGGCACCGAAATGTGAGTGGGAATCACTGGTGCAGCCTCTTATGTCTTTGTTTTGTTTAGGTTTTTTAGGGCATACGGACTTTTATTGTGATTCCATAGCTAAAGGATAAGAACAGTGTTTAATGGGTGCTATTCCAGTAAGTTGATATAAGTGTGGCAGCTGTGATACATTAACTAGACTTGTACAGCTGTAACTTAAAGGCTTGGTCCATCCCTTTTAGAAAGAATGACAAAATTGAGATATCTGGGCTGTCAAAAACTTAACTGGAAACAAAACTATACATAAAAACCACATTCCGCTCTTTCATATATTTTATTCTATGACATGGCTTCAACATAAGGAACATAATTGGTCAAATTTCTTACTACAGGATCTCAAAATATTTCTGAACACAAACCATGTACAATTATGTCAAATGTTTAATTTTTGTTAGTTAATACTGGATAAATTGCACTGATCACAAGCACTTTTGTGTTAGTAAATCTTTGTGTGTAATCAAGGATGAGCAGTAGGGTATTTGTTCAAGTACAAGAACAAGGCTTTCCAAGAGCTTTCCAGATTTGTGCAGAGTCCTAAAAAGTTTTGCTAATATAAACATGAAGCCCAACTTTCTCTGGCTCAATTTAAATGAAGCTCAGCTGTCTTGTGGGTTGTGGTGTCATTTGCTCTTGCCTATGATGACAAACCCTAATTTTCAATCAAATTTTCTTCTATGTGCCAATCAGGTTAGCAGTCTTCTGAAATTGTTCATGTCCAAAAAGTCCTTCAAGACATTAGGTCTAGATGCATCTTGAAAAATATATTTTAAAACCTTGTTTAGATATTCTGTATATCAAAGACAGTCTTGGATTTCTGGCTAACCTTCAATCTCTTGAGAGATAAATACTAGCATTTTCATAGTTTAGGTTTAAATGTTAACATAAGGCATGCCTAAAGAATGATTTACACAGAATTGCACTTAAATGAAAAAGGTTATAAAAAAGAGATGCCAGGCATCTCTTGGGAAGTCTTTAAAACCTATTGGTCCTATAATGAAATATAAAAACTGCATGTTTGTGGGGATGTGTGTGCTGCGAAAGCCATCACAGGGCTTTGAGTCCAGTCCTCATCTGGTGCACTTTGGCCTAATTCTGGAGTTATACAAACAAAATTACACTTCCACCACGTAACAGTAAAGTTTTTCTAGGATCAGGCCTGCGTTGGCTGCAGCAGAAAACTTTCATGTCCTTTCCATCGTGTCTCCAGCGTTGTGTCCTGAAGCTCTCAGAGGTGCTAGAGGTGTGATGGGTGCCGGGAGCGCCCAGCGTGTCCCCCTGTCACCGGGAGGCCCCGCCGCCATTGCCTCTCCTCCCCTGGGGACCCCACACTCCCTCCGGGAAGCCCCTCAGGACACCGCCCATGCTCACACACACGCAAGCCCCGCAGCTCGGCCGCTCCCCCGCGCCCCCGCCTCACCTGATGTAGGGGACGAAGGGCTCGACGTGCCCCGCCAGCACGGCGATCACATAGGAGATGATGAAGGCGGCCGAGGACCAGCTGACGAGCAAAGCGGGCACGAAAGCCACGCCGGGCATGCAGCACAGCATCGCCGCCCGGGGCACCGGCGGCTGGGCGGCAGCGCCCTGCAGTGACGGCCCGGCAGCCGGGACTGGGGCGCATCCGCGCTCACCCACGCGAGCCGGCCCCGCAGCCCCGGGGATGCCCCGCCGGGCGCTGGCTTCCCTTCACTTTCGGTTCTCCGCTGCGCTCCCCGCCCCCGACGGCGGCGGAGAGCCAGGGACCGCCGTGGGCCCCTTCGCCTTTCACCGCTGGCGGCACCTGCGCGCCTCGGAGAGTTTCTGGCTGCAGAACTTTCTCACCCCAGAGCCCTGTCCCTGTCGCTGCCGGCTCTCCGGGCCGCACACGCCCCGTCGGGGCAGGGAGGCGGGCGGTGAGATGCTGCTTGGACTGCTCGCCGGCTCTGCGGGTCGTGCCGCCGGCTTGCGCCTTGACAGTATTCTTCAAAAGGGCTAAAAATGGGTCCAGTGTGAGCGTGTAGGGGCTCTTTGCAGCTCGCCGGCCGGGGAGCGGTGTTAGGGGCACGGATAACGGGCCAGAAACTGTGCAGGTCCCATTCCAGAGTCCTGCACACACCTCATCTGCCTTGGACTTTCGTTTCAAACATATAATGTAGCCTTGATCTCCAAATTTCCCCTGAAATTCACTTTTCCACATGCTTAGAGGGAAACCATAATTTAATTCAAAATCATGCCGTGTTCAGCATTTTCGCTTTTGTTTAGCCTGAAGCCACGGACAATCTGCCAAGGGTGTTTCTGTTTCCTTTGATTGTTTGTAGTTATCAGCTCTCCAAACCAACATCTAAACTCAAGGTCACCATTCTGCTACAAAGATGTGTGTGTGCTTACTCTGCCCCTCTCCCTGAGAATGTATTGAGGGGTTTGCCTTCAGTGCACATTCCCTGTGGTGGATGCACACAAGGTGAGTACTTGCCATGACTCTGTAGGTATTAGGAATGGAGATAGAAATTACATAAAAGGACCAGGGACAGTACATCTTAATGCAAGTACAGAAAAGTAATTAAAAAAATTATTCTACCCCTAAGACTGGAGGTAGTCGACGACCTTCTTCGTGGCAGCAGCAAGTTGCTCATATTCTTTACATATAAATTGAGCGTAATAGTTCATAACATGGCACAAATTCATACTTCACATTTCCACAGCTAATCTGCTTTCTAGTAAATTTGAGTGACAGAAATTTCTGACTGGAAGAACAGATTTATTTCTCTTTATGTTAAAGGTGCAAAAATAATAGAAGGGAGATAATATTTGAGCTATCTTAATACGTCGGTTTAAAAAATTCAGTGTAATTATGCCTCAATATCAGGTATCTTAGGGTTTTTTTCATCTTGAAACAGAAAATTAAAGAACCACTATACAGGAATGAAACCCAATCTCTTTGGTCAATAAATGGCAGAAACATATTGATGGTAATTATATTTATAGCAGTAGAATTTTAATTTTTAGTATATCAGTAATTTATTATTTTGGTTTGGTCCCTTGCAAAAAGAGGATGGAATTCACTTTATTTTACTCCATCAGCATTTAAGTCACATTGTTGGAAAAATGTTCCATCCACAGTTCTGCAAGTTCCTTGTACTACCTTTAGTTTTGTAAGTAGTAAATAAATTACTCTAAAGTGTGAGTTGAGTATTTACATTACTCACATGACTTTTTGAAGTGCCTGAACACTATTTGGAGTGAAAAAAATGGACACATTTGGCTCAAGCAGGTGGCAATTGACTGTTTGGTGATCACTAGCAAAGGCTCTCGTTGCTATGTAAACATTTATTGCAGCTCACGTGATGTTTCATTTTCTTTATCATTTTATTGTAAAATTTGAGCAGTGTTCTTTGATAATTTTTTTATCAAAAGCATGTTCTTTAAAGATCATTAGAAGTTGCATGGAGTAACAAATACAGGTTACTCACAAACTTGGGAAGAGTAATTTTATTTACTGACTTGAGAACACTAGTGTGATATTCCAAAGAAAGTCTGTGTATTTTAACTAATTTTGTTTTCGATAAATTATATTAAAACTCTGGTAGTAGAGAAACATAAAATAACTATGGATTTTAATATAGCTCCATGGGATTGAAAAATTAGATAGGAGTCATCAGTGCACACTTGCAGTCCAGAAAACCAGCTTTGTCCTGGGTTGTATGAAAGCATGGGAAACATGACCAGAAGGTTGAGGAAGGTGATCCTGCCCCCTTGCTCTGCTCCGCTCTGGTGAGACCCCACCTGGAACACTGCATCCAGCTCTGAGGTCTCTTGCACAAGCATGGACCTGTTACAGGGGGTCCAGAGGAGGGCCACAGAAATGATCAGATGATGCTGCACCTTTCCTTGTTGAAGAAAGGCCGAGAGAGCTGAGGTTGTTCAGTCTGGAAAAGAGAAGGCTCCAGGGACAGCACATTGCATCTTTTCATTATTTAAATGGGGCTTAGAAGAATGACAGCTGGAGACTTTTTACCAAGATCTGTAGCGACAGCACAAGGGGAAATGGCTTTAAACAAAAGAGGGTAGGTTTGGATTACATATTAGGAAAGAATTCTCTGTTCTGAGGGTGATGAAGCACTGCAACAGATTGGCCAGAGAAATTGTGGATGCCCTGTTAAAGGCCCTCCTGGATGGGGCTTTGAGCAATCTTGTCTAATGGAAGTTTCAACCCCACACCCATGGGAGTGGGGTTGAAACTAGGACATCTTTATGGTCCCTTCTGAACTAAACGCTTCTATGATTCTATGAATCTGTGATTTAACAAAATCATCAGACTACTTCAAATTAGAATTATTAGAAAATAAATATGTCAAGGTATGCAAATAATAACACATCCATGTCAGTGATTTGAAAATATATGAAGGTAAGGAAATAATAATGCAAGAAATCTAAAATAGTTTATGCTGCTGGTACTTGTATCTCCTCTTTTCTCCTGCTTTACTCAAAATATGATTTCCGTGGATTTTTAATTTATTATGTATGAATATTCTTTATAATATGTGTGTTTTCCAAACTCATTCATTATGAAATTACCTGTAACATGAAAGACCCAGTTAGAAGAATCTCCTTCCCCAAACATATTGGTTCTTAATATCTCTGCATGATTTTTACATTGAACCTGTACAGAATAGTTACAGTAGCATTTACTTCCCTGATTTGGTAAAGAACCTGCTGGAAGATGGAAGGATGGAAGAACAAGTGAGACAAGAAAATGGTAAGCAGTAAAAGTTTGGAATGAGAGCAAGAGAGATGCAGTTCAGCTACTTTTTGAGAGCTGTTGCTACACACAAGCTCTAGGGAAAAAAAAGGCAGTCAATCTGTGAATGTAATGCCTAAATTCTTTTATTAACAACTGGTTAATAACTGGTTTATTAACACAGGTTGCACCAGAAATACATTTACAGAAGTAATCAAATACACTACCTGTAACTTCTTCAAATTACGGTGTGAAGAGTTCAAGCTGGTTTGTGGTACCTCTTCCCTTCCTCTTTGGTCATGTGCCAGTATCTGTAACCTTCTCTCAGTAATAAAAGCACGTGCAAACTATTCTCACTTCTGACAGGAAGTTTGGAGTAACAATAGTAACAACTCACATCCTCTGTGAAGTCTTACACTGTGAGGCATCCATGGCATGATGTTAATATTTCTAAAAGGTAATGGGAGTTAGTTATAAGGCAGTATTCAGGTGTTACTGTTTAAGAGACGCTTTATTTTGCTCCCTTTGTTTTGGGTCCCCCCTGTAGATAGCTAGATTATATATAAATATCTAACCAAAATTCAGGTAAAAAATGTCTCAGCTGTCAGAAAGATTGGACAAATCAAAAAACTGACAGATCGCTTAAGAATGAAGAGAGGTTAACTACTGGGTTGAAATTGTGTAATTTCATCTCTCAAAAAAAACCAAACCAAACCAAACCAAACCAAAAAACCCAAAAAGCAAAAACAAAACCAAAAACAAAATGAACACCCAATACCCAAAACCAACCAAAACCAAAAAACAACCAAGCAACCAAAAAAACTCAAAACCAAAAAACAAGCAAACAAACAAATAAAAACACCCCAAAAAACTACACACACACAAAAACAACCAACCAAAAAACCCCAAAACCAAAAAATGAATAGAAGCTTTCTCTGGTGCAGGGCAGATTAATATCTTGCAATAGTGATGAAGTGTGAAAAGGTTTATTCCATAATTTCTAAAGAAAATTAGCTCTCAAAATGTATTTTTTTACTACTCCACTCTGCATTTTGAGTTACTTCTTGGGTGATGTTTTTTCAAATAAAGTGTTTATTGGGAGAAATCTTTGTTTCCAGAATGTGTGAGCTGTAGACTGACAAGGGCTATAAAGAGCAAGAGAGAGGCTGTTTAGCTGCAGATGAACCATTCTCCAGTGGCTTTGTTTGTCCTTCACTCTAGATGAGGTAGTGAACATGTTGAAGCAGTTAGTAGGAGAATTTGGCTCTGGCATTTTGAGAATTTTGGCAGTACATTTTTGTAGAAGCACATTTTTAGTGAAAAGTAAATCATTCAAAGTGAAATGGGAGCTTTTTATGTGGCCTTGTCATCTGAAAGAAATACCTTTACAGTTTTCTTAGTGGTACACAGTAGCTGGCAGTAAGTTGCTTGCTGAAGATTAGGAGAAAGTAATGAAATTCATAACCTGAGTCAAATTAGAATGAAAAGGGATTAATGAAATCAGACTCTAAACAGAGAGAATTTGATCAATCCTAGGAAAAGCTATCAAAAAATATTTTTCTCAATATCAGAAGTGGCTAATGATGTAGCTACATCCAATACAAAACCTCCTGGAAATGGAGAGTACTCACTCCTGAAAAATCAGATTCTATTTCCATAGGTTAATATTGATTTGCCAGCACAATTTAGGGGTGTTGGTTTGTCTACCTTTACTGCATCATATTGTTAAATATAGGGCACTCAATTATTTCTTCCTGTATACCATGCTTTGCACTGCACAACTGTTTGCTTCTTTCATGAGTTTCCTTTTTCTGTGTCTGGCCACAGCTGACACCAAGGTCTAACAGGGCCAGAGGGAGCTGCCACATGTGCTTCAGGGAATATTGTGAAATCTGTTTATGTTGAAACTGCTTGATTCCAGCTGATACATACTGAACAAACAGACATACCTAGTAAAATGTAGTTTTCCAAAACCTAAATATTGCATCCAATTTTGTCTTTTCAGTTTTAACAAACTGTTCTTTACATCCTTTCTTGGCCTTTGTCCATGTCCTTCATAGTTCTTCAATATCAAAGAGTCATGCTACACAGCAAATGTGTTATGACAAAAATATAC